TATTGACCATAGAATCTCTTATAGATTATATCTTGATTATTTTCCACAAATTAAATTTTATGGTATTTTATTCAATCAAATTAAGTAATGTTGTAGTACTGTACATTTTCAACTTTATTTAATGAAATTAAATTTATTAAAATTAATGTTTTAATTAGAAATAATTTAGAAATAAATTTAATATATATCCATATTATAAGTTCAAAAAATTAAATATAACTAATACTTATTTAACATATTTTATTGTTAGTTTATTTAATAAATAAATCGTCAGTATTGTATAATTATTTTTAATTAAATGCTTATAAACTTGATAATACGGTAAATTTAAAGGGAGATATATTTTTAATTTATTAGAAGTAAACTAATATTAATATTATAATTCATGTATAACAATTTTACTAGTAAAATAGCAATTACTGTATATTTAAAGTAACATTGTAATATAATACATTTTAAAAAATAATTTATTACTGAAATGTAATTATATTAGACAATGAAAATTATTAAAAATACCTCACAATGGTTACCATATTGTCTATGACTATTGTACACGTGCCGAAAATATAATTTTCATGTAATTATTATGACAAAAATAATAAATCAAAATAATATAATATCTAATTATAGCACTTATTTTAAATTTAACTTACATAACATAAACATTTATTTGACAAGAAATATGATATTTAATGATAAGTCGTGTTTTATGCTAAAAATAATATTATAATTGTTAAAATATTATTACAGCATTAGTGACTAGCAAACTAAATTAGTTAGATTGAAAAATGTTTTTGAGATCAGCACTGGTATGTATTTTAATAGCCTATCCTATGGTTTGCAAAGGGATCTGGTATGGGTGCTACCCGAACCCAGCCATAGCCATCAAAGGGTGTACCTGCACACATCTCTGGGTAAATATGAGTTTCATAATAATTATTGAATAAATTAATTTATAAACATAACATCTAAGATTATTATATATAGCATATAATTTGAATTAACCATGTATATTCTTCTAAAGGTTGCTACTGATTATGCATACAAAACTACTGTAATCTGTGGAGGGGCCGTGGGAACAGTATCTGATTTTAAAGATAATTTAAGAAAGCTAGATGGCTATGGTGTGGATGATTTTATAATCAGAGTCCACCCAAACACACAACTACCGGATGAGCCCTTCACAGGCACGACTGAAATCAAACGAATTATTATTCAAAACTCACCAAAACTGGAGGGGTTTGGCTCTAAGGGTGGGAAAGGATTTTTTACAAACCTCGGCAAGTCATTAAAGGGTCTGGTGATCGACAATAACCCTGGTATTCGTAATGATGAGTGGGCGAGAATAGCCCCAGAATTAGGGGCAGGACTCCCGCTTATTGTTCAAGGTATTCCTGCCCCTGTTGTAGTTGAAGGTGCAGGGGACTTTGTACTTAATAATGTGGCCATCACAATGCAAAAATTATTTGATAACCTTGATGTATTCAAAACATTGACCACCCTGGATACTATTATCTTACGTGACTGTGGGTTTACAAATTTCAGATATGATTTAACCACCTACGTTAATCTTAAATTGTTGGATTTATCTGGAACAAAGTCACTTAAGGTATTTGAAATTCAGGGTGAGATATCACCTAGCTTGAAAACAATAGTTTTACGCAACACTGGTATTGAAAAATTTGAACCTACAACCTGGGCACTTTTGCTTAAAGCAAATCTGACTGTTGATTTGAGAGGTATATACATAATATTTTTGTGTTTACTTTACATATATTAATTAAATTTCAAACAATTTTACTAAATCTTATAACAAATTATAATGTATATTATAAAGTATACACTTATTTTGTTCAGTAACAATTTGTTATAACTTTCTAGGAAATAATCTATATTGCCATTGCGATAGTCTACCGGATAATTTTGTGAAACCCAATAATGCAGACAATGAAAAACAATTTCCAGGAGCCAAATGTGGTTATCCACCTGAGACCAGGGGCAAGAATTTTGGAAGTTTTTGTGTTAAAAGCTAGATCATTTTAATGACAAAATTTTATGTTTTAACAAATATTAATTCATTTTATAATACTGTATTGACATTTATTTTTACTTTTCTAAATACATTAAAATAATGTAATAAATTTGCAATGTATGGTGTTAAACATCATTATTTGTATTGTTACTAACTTTAATTTTAATAAATTAGTGATTATTTGTAGCGAATATTTTAGAAATATTATTAATTCCAATAATTTTATAATTTATGATAAATAAAATAAAGTTTATTAATAAATTTCTCACTATTTCAAACATATGCCGTTTTGTTTGTCAATTAAATAATTTTATAAACATTTAGTCATTAATTATACTAAAATTATATTGAGTAAATTTATTAAATTCTAATTACAATGCTCAATAATTTATACAATTAAAAATTATATTGAATTACATATTTTATCCATCAATTTAATTACATAACAAAATGATATAACATTAGCAAATAATTTAAGAGCCTTTTACTTTTATAATTAAATAATTTTTAAATAAATTATTATAATGAGTTTTAAATGTATGCAACAAGTGTTTGTCGAGTATTTTGTTGACTATAAACAGATTACAAGTTAAACAGTCTGGGAATTTAATTTTATAAATTAGTCTGTGTTTGTGTGCCATACAAGTCATATGAAAGTTAAAATGTTTAAATTTGTGGTTTTGGTCTCTATCCTCATATTAACTATCAATTGTCAATCACTGGGAAATCGAGGTAATTATATAACCAAATGACTGGTAATAGAGTAACACTTATTGAGAACACTATTTAATATTAGTATGTTTTTGATCTAAATTTAATTTCACAATTATAACTTTTGCATAGATTATAATATTTATCAATTTTATCTTATATAGAGTCTATAGATATAAATTCAGTAATTAAATAATCCCGGTGCTGTTTAATTTCAATTCATTACCTAGATATCAGTAATATAATAACTCTATTAATGCTAAAATTTGGACATTAGATCAATTCATCCAAAACCTAAAAGCCTCGGACCCGTACGCCACCACAACATCCCCGTCTCCGATAACCTCCATTCCCATCACCACTACTACAGAGAAAAGTGGTGCCACGGGTGGGCACAACCATTCACTGGTCATAGCCATGGCTTCCATAGGAAATATACTTCTGGTTCGTTGGTATCAATCCATTCTCAAAGCCGTGCCTTTGTTTGCCTTTTAAGTGATCCGTGTATTGATTACTATGTTTACTGTATTTTTGTATTTATTTGCTTTAATCAATATTAAAATGTCCATGATTTATTATTATATAAAGCTGTTTAATTAATGTATGATTAAAATTTAAAAATAAAAATTTAATTACTTTCCAGAATTATAATTATTTTAAAAAATTATATTTAATGATTATAAAATGAAAGGTACAAAAGTCGCTTAAATTTTTAATTATATATTTATTTTTAATTTTCTTTACAAATTCACTGCCAAACTGGATGTATGTAACAAATGGTTATAAATTAAATGAATTCGTATAAAATTATGTAATATAATTTACCTAAACTATAGAAACAATTATTTATAAAATATCTATTTAATTATAAAATGTAAATTATTCACAATTTAAATAATACTATAAATTTAACACTTATTTACAACTCTGGACTCACTGTCTGACCGATTTAGACGTTCACTACTGTTACGAATGCCGTATAAGAAATACATTAACAATCCTGATAAAAATAAAATAAAAATAAAATTAATAAAAGTTAACTATACTATATTTATCTGTTATAAAGTCATACCTATCACCATCCATACGCCAAACCTTATCCATGTATCGTACGATAGCTTAAACATCAGGTAAATATTTACAAAAACACTTAGGAAGGGAATTACTGGTACTCCAGGCACCTGTATTTTGTTATATAAATTAAATATTTAGTAACTTATAAATGATGAATAACAATGTGTTATAGAAATTACTTCAAAAGATACTGATTTAGGTATCATTGGTTGCCTTGTGAGGCAATATATGACAAAAACGATAATAACGACAGTAATACAGGAGCTCACAATTGG